TCACAGATATCCAGTAGTCACAGATGTTCAGTAACTGAACAGCCAGTGAGGTTTGTCAAGTGTTATGAAGAAGGAACATTGCTCAAAACGTCTCCTATTATTTTTCTTCTCTTTTTAAAGCCATAGTAGTTATTGACAAATGTGCTGCGCAATGTGCGATGTAAGGGAGGATGTGGAATACAATATATTTTATATTCAGGAAAGTAGTACGGTGACAATTTGAAGAATTGTTGCAATTCATCCATCCATCTGTATATGTGTAACTGCTGCCGCAGATACAGCTGTGTTTTATCCGCCCGAAACTCCGCTCATTGTTGTGAGTGTCTCTCCTCTGTCCTCCATTGTTGCTGGAGGGCAACTGCCTCCAACTGCCCAGTAGCAGCGTCCTTAACGAACCTCCTCCAGAGGCCGATCTTGACACCGCTGGTACCAGTCATCTGCAAGTCCACTCAGCTCCACATCGTCTTGTACCACACCACTCTTTTTCGATTTAAAGCTGTGGCCGAAACGTCGTGAGAATTATTTTATTATGTTTTATTTTTATTATTTTATTACTTCCCTTCTACGTGACTTTACCGAAAGAACCAAGAAGATGAACCACTCTATTGCTTCTCTAACCCGTGCCGCGCCCGTTTCGCCCCCTCTATCCGGCCGACCAAAATCTGTGTAGCCATGCGGTGGCTGGGCATGCGGGCTACATGACCTCGCCAACCATCACTACGTCACACACAACTTTTGCCTTGGTCTTCAAGGCGATAACGCCACGTCTAAAAAAAAAAGGCACGCGCATTATGGAAGGGGAATGAATGTATTTTTGTTGCTCATCCTTGCACTCTATTGCATTAAATCTCGAATTCCAAGCGTAATGGGAAAAGATGAATCAATTAGTCGTAAGATAGATTTTTTTTTTATTGCAGTTGTAAATTTAGGCAGCGTGCCGTATTTGTTAATGAAAGTGTAGATAAATAAAAGTCATTTTTCTCTAAGGTCAAAATACAAACCTCAATGAGCTTAAATAACGTCTTTGCAGGGGATACCGTCTTCTCGGGATTATGACACTTTTCCCCAGTACATGTACATGTAATGTAAAGCTAAAGTTGGGTGCCTATCTTATAATCTGGCAGATATGTGGCCAGATTGTAATAAATATTGACACCGGGCGCAAGTTTGGTGTGCGTTATTCTTTCCGGAGCATCTTATTATCTGGAGAATATGGCACCACATTAGTAAGCTATCAATTTGGCTGCTTGGATACGACCAATTGTGACTGAAACTATATAAGAATACAACTTCCTTTCCAACGGACGTATAATTATGTCGCATCACACCCAACACTCTAGAATAACAGGCTTGATTGATGTAACGATGATTGATGTGACAATAGCCCTAATTAATCAATTTGGGTTCTTGTTCCTGCATTGTCTACGCAGGCAGGCCTAATTGCTTGGAGGCCAATGATGAACTATGCAACAATCATTGCAAAGGTAAATCGATTGTAAATCAAGTCTTAATACGTATTTAGTCATGCGAGTCATTCCTAAATGTAAAATGTAAATGTACAACAAAACGAGGATCCCTCCTCGTAGCGCCTTCAACTTTACCACTTCGTCTCCCGGGAGCTGATGGTTACACACAACACCAGCTATTCATTCAAGGCCGAGTCGATCTAGTGGAGGCCCTGGACCTGTTCAGATATTCGCCACTATCATCGATCGTGAGCGGGAATCGCGCTCGGATCGCCGGACTTTGCAGCGCTAACCACTGTGCCGACTGCTTTCCACAACAAACGACGTATACCGCATACACCAATGCATTTATATGAAGACATGATTCATATAAACAAATCTTTACATTCAGGTTACGTGAAGCCTGCAAAAGTTAAATTTTCACCCGAGCAGCATGTTATCAGCATGTCGCATTTTCAAAACCATTTACAACTGTTTACCGCCGCAAAGTAATTTGTTCTGTAAGGGAACTGCTCCACCTTGCTTAATGTGTGACCTCTGAAAGTGAATTATAAGAGACTGTGGCTAAGGTTAGGAAGTGTTCATATGCTAAATAAACATGTATAGTATTAACAGCGCAATCAATTAACATGTTTGCAACTAAAGGAGCAGTCGACACTGTGGGCGAATACATTGTTTGTGAAAATTGCACCTATACACTGAAGAAGAGATCGGAAATCTAGTATGAGAAGCGAGCATTATTCTCACGTGGCCTTGCCGAAGGAGATAACCAAGGGATGAACCTGCCATGACTGCATTAAGGTGGCTGCTGAGCGTAATGCAGGAATTCTCAACCACACGGATCTTCAGACACAGGGAACCACAGGCACATTACAGGGATCTGTGAAAGGTCAACAGGTCTGCAAAGTGCTCAGGGGTCCAAAATATATATATAAAAAAGCAGTCAAATTACAGATCTGTAAGCCAGCACTCGCCTCACTTCCAAAGAAATCAAACAATACTCCGGATTCAACCAGAGGTGTCGTTGTAGCTGTGCTCCGTTTCTTTAGCTTTAGTTTGTTTCTCGCGAGTAGCTTTGAGTGGCACATTGTGTTCCACCCTTACCAATGTGGACAGGTGACTGCACGCAGGGGGCGCATCCTTGTCACACTTTTGGATTTTGAGTTCGATCGATGAACAAACATTATCTCGATATCTCAATGATAGTTCAATGGCGATGGTGAAAACATCTTTCAACACGTCTAACACGTGGTAGGCTTTCGCGACCAATATATTATCCATATAATAAAAGATTATTTTGGGTTAGATCGCGTAACGTGATGGTGATACGCGATCTAACCCACACACCTCTTTTGTTAGATTTGATTTGACAAGAGCCCGTTAAAGGGCACGAACCCTAACAAAGGATGGAAGGGTGTACAGAAATTTTGCGGACCGAAGCCCAAACTCAGTGCTCCCTGGGATCGGAGGAAGGGGAGGAAACAAGCAAAATAAAGTTAAAGGCACAGCCCTGCAATTTCATTCTCACGCCACTGCTGCCAGAAGGGCCTCCACCAGAGAGAGCTCACCCAGAGGGCATTTTGGCCTACTCTCTCATGATGGCTAGACATTTTTGAATAGGTAGGACAACCCACACAAACGCATCGTGGTTTGAAATATATTGTAACTGGGCCATCTGTTAATATGATTCTCTGTAGAACAATCACAAGCAACCAGTCGTTTACCTTCAACCATTCGGCCTGACCTCCACGTCAGGTTACGCTCTCTCAAAAAACAAACTTGCGCCGTGGAAGCGAGAATGGTTTGATGCTTTTAAGTGTGTACCGCTCTTCCTTTTACTAGTCTTGGTTCTTGAGTTTTCAGTGCCATTACATAAATCAATAGTAATATGGCCGTTGTGTGTGGATGTGAAAGCCCAAAGAACTACGTACAAAAACGATCATATCCATTTCTGCCCAGCATCTATCTGGGGTCTATGACTTGCCGAAGGACGTCACCATTGGTCCTATACAGAGACTGTCCCCTCCCATGGCAATATGAAGCGCTAACCACTGTCTCAGCAGCACCAATAGAGACGACTGCCAACCCATGTCTTATTTGAGCAGGAAAACACTTGGGACTATTTTTACTTTGAAAATACATCGTAGTATAATAGCTTTGTACGATGGCTTCCTCTAGGTAATAAACACTGTAATGATGCATCTCAGAAGCACTCGCCCAAAGATTATAATTACATTCACTGTATCTACTCCACTTTATATTCATCTGCAGTCAAGTTTACAAAATGGTCTGGCAAAACCAGGCCCACATACTTGACGAGATCTTTTAAGCAGTCGTATAAACATGATTGTCAATTGTGATAATAAAATGCTCTCGGGTTGAAACGCCAAAGACCTTTCCCAGTGTCACATTCAACAAATGTCTTCTCTTTTCTCGGTAGAAAGGTACTACTTCCTGGGTAAAAATTATACGGTGATTAACTAATCGTGCATTCCATTTCATGTTTGACACCATTTGCTCCCGAGGAGTACACTATTTAATAATAGGTGAAGATAGTCATAAGTCTATGGCCAAATTATCCGGAATGCACCTGCTCTTATCAGCTCTTGGAAGCTAGACATGTTTGAACCTGAATAGTGCTCGAATGGATGCCCACCATTAAACATTAAAACACAGGCAAGTTGTTATAGGGTATCTGGCTATGTGGTGGTTAGCTAACGGCTGTGGAGTAAAATCAGTTATTGGACTGTGCTTCTACCCTTCCATGATGACGCTCCCCACTTCCAACTAGCGCTGACCAGCAGGGTGAAGTATGGTCAAGGTGTGGTAGGGAGGCCCTTATCCAGCAGTGGATTGCTAAAAGGCTGCACGTGTACTTAATCATGAGGGAAACCAATGTTGTGCCGTGCAGCGATTGGTGACTCTGGCTTGCAGACATCAAAGGATACTCATTTTCGCCTCTGCTGGTACCCCAGGGGCATGAACACAGGCTGCCAGAGACGCTGGCTGAGTACTCGTGATTATTACGCTTGTTTTACCCAGGAAGCCTGACAGACTCGCGTCTCTTTTTCAGGAGGGTCCAGCTAAGTTTTTTGCAGTAGGGGTCGATAGCCGCTGTGTGTCTAATCCCAATTATGTAATATGCAGTTTTTTTTTACATTGGGATATTTGGGCAACGCCAGTGGCATTGCGTGTTTATTGTTTTCGCTATGGGAGGAAACCCGTGTAGAGAGCCATCAATCTTTACGCAGAAAGGTGGCCGAACCCAAAGCCAGAACATTCTTGCCGCAAGGCCCACGGGTTACCACTGCACCATCCCTGCGACCCAAATGGTGCCATTAGTCCCGCAAGCAGCAGATCCACCTCAGGTGCCCTCATATTGTAACTAAAAACCGCAATGAACCACCAGCCAACTTCCTTTAATATGTAGTGCTGAGGTCGAACCACAGCTGCCATATTTGCAATTACGGTTTGACAAAAGCATTAATCTTATCTGAAGTCTTCGTGCCAAAAAAATGAGAAGAGAGGTCTTGGTGGTGTGAGGTGAAAGGAAATTTATTTATTTGAACCTGTGATCATTCCATATCGTTCAAGGAATTGGCTTTACATTGCAGCTCAACACTTGTTGTGTATAGAAACAATTACACAGACTGATTTGGTGATTACATTTTTTTTATATAATAAACATGTTTGACAATATGTGCATTTAGTCTTAAGAGTGCATTTACACATCCAAGTGCAAAAAACCCCGTAAATTTTACTAATGCCACAGCAATGTGCAATAAAAATATTCATTACCAATAATAAGAATTAAGCTTCAGTAAGAAAAATAGTATCCAGCCAGCACCCATTTAAAATGAAAAATACAAACTGTAGACATTTAAACACTAAAAGTCCACTCATTTGAATACATGGTACAGTGCATAATGCCTGTCTCCATATTATCACTATGCACACTACTAAAATCCACAACAAAAATCATTTTAAATTTCAAAGTAATTAAAAACCAAAAAAATAAACGCATGATTAAGCGGTCAAAACAAAACTCATATTGAAGTTATCGTGAGCACAAATCCTAGTCTCCTGCAGCAGTCTATAACGGGAATGTATCCAATACAGTGGTGACATCTACTGCCTTGATTTAGTAACAAAAGCAGTGCTGTAAAACTGCAGCACAAATGGATCTGGTAAATGTTTACCGATGTGGCCATCATGAATTACGCGGTATTGTTAATTTCGTTATGAAGCCTTTTACCAAATCTGATTTGAAGCATCAACACAAGTGCTTAATCTGCAATGTTCGCGGTGTTACACCGTAGCGCTCTGTGTATGGCCAAAAACGAGCACTTGGTACAACAGCGTACACTTTGTGTTCGTGTTTTGTGCCAGTGCAAGTGTCGTCCACTGGCAGTCGAAGTTAGCCTCGTGTGTAACATTCATTCCCAGCGAGTTGTAACAAAATCCACGGGTTAAACCATAAAATTCCACAAAAAGGCTCATTAGCAACACCGGTGAACATCATCAGGTTAACGTTCTGTGCCGTGAAATATATGATGAATCAATTATGAGGTCAATCATAATTGATTCATGAATCAATTATGTGCCCTTTATTTGCCAAAGGCGTGCCAAATTTTACATTAATCGCGTTTATTTGAGAAAATCTTCCTCAGTCGAGTATGGACATATTTTGCAAATGAGATTAAACGTCCAACTGGATGGTTCTACCCAAAATGTACATAGACTAGAAACTGCACCTTCCACAACAGCATATGCCATGGCAATTAACCTTGCCAACAAATTCTACACTTTTCTTTAGTCAAGCCTTGGAATTCAGACTTATGTTCAGTAAACACCAAGCAAACTTTAAGTTTCTACTGGTTTCCCCAACTCTGGTTCATTCACAAATGAGATGGCACCGCCACCTTTGGATTCTTCGAACAGCACAATCTGCAACACAAATGTATGCATCATTTGGACGAAGGATAAAATTCACCACTGACTCCATAGTCCACATTTTGTAGTTGGTACTCTAGATGGAGAAATAACAATACAGGAAGTCTTAGCTATCATACACCGCTTGTGTGTATAGGATAAAACATTGATCAGTGAGTGACTGGAGTGACTATTTATGACCACGAGCTTTTTTAGTCACGAACAATTCCTATGATATATAGCTTTTTTTATATTTTATGCACAAAAAATGTCTAGCCACATGGTGCTATAGTTGGAGTTCTTCCAATGGGAACGTTATGAGTTCAAATCCCGGTCTGGTATCGCCTCAGCCCATCTTCTCTCTGAGGTCCGTAAAATGATTATTACTTTACATCAAGTCCACAATGATTTTCCCATGGTAACACAAGCTCCTGCCATGGAAATATGGAATTTCTTCCCCACTGACATTTTTTATGCATACATATTTCACTTATAAATTCACATTGCGCACATTAAGCATACACACATGCGATTAAAGGTCAGGTGACCTGACATTTATAGCGCTCGCATACTGGTCCAACATTTGCTGACTTCGCAGCAAGCATGCAATGCACATTAATATTGAATAAAATTCTTAAATGAACACTAATTTCCATTTATGCTTGCGAGGGTTACGGTTCAGATTCATCCTGTCCACACACGGTAAGCCAATGGCATATAAATTATGAGATGGCATGAGCACAATGATATACCAGAGCCTAGATTATCGCAAATACTGATTACAAGTGCTGTTATGATATATGGTGCAGAAACAAGGTCATTAACGAAACAAAAACTGAAAAGTGGGAAAATAAGTGTCCAGAAATGCACTGAGAATTCCGAAAGAGGAGCACGTGTATGAAAGAACATACGCAAGTAAATGTCACGGATAGAAGGGGCAATGACCATGGTCAAGAACAATAATGAATTGGCAGCCAAGCAATGGAATGCGTCTGAGTATAGCCACAGAGGAGATGGAGAGATTAAATCAGTTCATGTACAGTTAGTACATAGATTATTACATGGCAGGATTGTGAGAGTTGGAGGCCACTTGAGGCCTTCATCCAGCAGTGGACCTCCCATGGCTGATTATTATGATGCATTACATGTATGTGTGTGTTGGGGTAATTCTCACAAACCTTATTGTCACCCTCCTTGAGCCATGGAGCAGGAAGGTATAGTGTTTTCTGGGGTCCCAGAATCCAGTATCTGCCGAGGTTTTTGCCGTTGACAAATACAACACCTTTCTCAAATTCCTGCATTCACACACAGTATGCTGACATCAGAGCTGGGAGATTCTCGCAGGAATCACATTTGATTCCTACAAACACACCCTGGATGGTTCCAGCAGGAATTGGGATTTTTGTATTGATTGTTACAAAGAAAATATCTCCATTAAAATACATGAGAGAGCATTGGAGCGTGCGCATACGCATACATGCACTAGTAAGCAACTGTGTATATATGTCACGTGAGTGAGCATATCATTTGGTCGTATCAGCAGTCCAAGTCCTACTGGACATCTGTGAAAAACAGCTGCACAGCTCATCAGAATTCTCCAGGATAAATAAAAGTTCTGAAAAAGATTCTGATTCTGAAGTGGTGGTCTCAGAGGTCCCAGTGGTATGGCCAGTAGTCTCATAGGTCTGAACACTACTTCCTGTAGTCACTGTTGTGGAATGACCACAGAATGCCATGTGAAGCTTAAAAAGTGCGTAAAACAGTATTTAGGCCAGATGTTTTTTTTACCAGAAGCTTTATTGGGCTACCCTGAATTCTGGCTTACTCGTGTCTATTTCGAAAGGCTATTCTGTACGTTTTAACGTAGATTTCACCGGGATGGCCGGGCCCCACAGTTCCTCTCATTGAGCGTCAACGACGTGCCGGAATCGTGGTGAAATGAGGCTTTGGGCCCTTAAGTTTCAATGGCCATGCTGATCTAGTGGCTGGAATTGGCATTGATGCATAAGCCAGGCTGAATCGACCAGAATCACAATGAAAACATATAACCGAAACCAATGTACAATTTGGCACATCTGACAGTCAAATATCTGCCTATATCTCAGTTCCCAGTAGGTCGGACATGCGACGTTGCACTGAAGCATGTTAACGTCACGAAGGTTGACGCTCACCAGCTGGGCTGAGTCCCAGCTGCTCTCGTAAGACCGTGATAAATGATTATGTCATGATGAAGAGGGCTTAATGCAGCTGTGGATAGGTCACGGCTGATTACGATGGTGTCAGGGATATAGCGGCAGTAAACACTGTGCTATGAGCCCTTGGCCATGCACAGCAGCTCAATGTGCTATCTGTTTCTGTCCTGGAGCTTTCCCGAGGTCAACTCCTCGTTAAATGAGTACTGAATAAGGATGAGATTTGGCTGAAAAAACCCTTTTTGAATTGTTCAAGACTATTTCTTATCTGTTATTGATCGCAAATATTATGTGATTAAAGAAAGCGTCGTCATGCTAACGGCAGTGCCACATTACACCAATTTGTCAGGAAAAGCACTAAAGTAATGTCATAAAAGACATAACTTCCGGTTTTATGATCAATTAAAAAAACTAATCACAACATCTGAAATTTCGTATTCAGGCCTGATTTTGAGATTTTTCAAATTTAACCGAAAGTCGGGAGTACATCTTTAGAATCTAGTATTGTGTATAAACATCTGCACCACGGAGACAAAGGCAGCTGGAAATTGTATTGGCCACACAACCCCCCATGTGGAATGCCTGCCCCTCATAGGTGCTCACTAACAGCACATTCCTCCTTGTGCTCAATAAGACTGAATAGGGATCTTTTTTATTATCATTTGGGCATCAAAATAACAATTGTCAGGAACCTCACCACTGGGCAATTTTTATGGCCGGTAATAGTTTAATCCCAAAGGATACATAGACATTTTAGTGGGAAATTACCAGTGTGCCATCTGCTATAAAGTGACCATTTAATGCCCTCTCATATAATTCCCTGGCGTGAATCAATAACAGAGTGGTTAGTGCAATGCATTATACTAATATCCTAGCAACCTTAGTTTGGTTCCCACCACTAACAAGTGGCAAATGATATCTGATCCAGTGCTGGATATCCATGAACCAACAACTCACACTGGCCAAACAACTGTGACCAACACGAGATGGGGAGACTTTTTTCCAGCATTGCATTTACAAATGGCTGTACATTATTATTAGAATGTAGCCACCATCCTACCTTTGTCTTGCCAATGCCAATACGGACCACAAAACTCATTTTGGGATGAATCGACCTATGGAACATGTCGGCTTAGTTCATTGCCACTGATGTTATGGCCCATAACATATCCAGATATTGAACACAGGTCACAGGAGCAGAGCTCACTGTGATAACCACTATACAACCACTCCTAATTACGTACATAATTTAAATGCAAAGTCTCCTTTATGGTCTCTTAGGGGCAATTGAGGCTCATGATTTACAGTCTTGAATGTGGATAGAATTTGCTGTTGAATCTACAGCTTTTGGCTAAACGTCGTTGATGCTCTCCAATAGCAGGGCGATTTATTTTTATACGTTCATAAATTTTGGACACATTTTCATCGTATTTAAGTCATTTTGACACCGATAATGCAATTAAACGACACGTTTGAGAATGCCTTTGATATCCCAATCTTAGAGAATACATTTTTGGACGTACTTGGATTTTCAGCCATTTTTGTCAATCCACAAAGATGCCACCCTCACCGTGCAGTGGCGTTGTGGGGTTGTTTGACCACGCTTCACCCATGCCGGTCAGTGTGAGTTGGCGAAGGCAGGGTGTTATAGGCATTGGTGTACAATACATCTTGACGATGAACGTCTCTGCTTATAGTATAGCCCCGCAGAAGACAACACCTGGTTTACGCATGCTGGTTGCTCATCCAAGCACTCTGCTCAGCTTCTGAGATCTGATGAAATCGGGTGATTTCTGTGTTCTCACTACACACACATATATATGAGCTTCAAAAGCAACTAGCTATTAATACACTCTAAATGTACACTAAATTACTTCTCATCAAACCGTGTCAACATTCATTTCATTCTTTGACATCAACAATTACAAATTTCTGAAGTGTTAATTTCATCTCTTTTTATAACACACCTAAATTGTAAGAAAAACCCCAAAAAGCCCGAGGTTTAATTACAAATCACAATTCAACAAAGCTAGTAAAGCAAAGCTGATTGAAGGCATTCTGTGCAATAGCACATTGGAGCAGCCAGGGTCACTGTGCAATTTTGCTTCATAGCTCACCTTACGGCCTGCAGATGAATTGTATAAAGAGTCAGGGCTTAGGCAATTATCTGCACCGAGGTCTCAACTCCTGTCGTATGAAGTTGGGTTGCCAACGCGCATATCCGACAGAGCTACGGCATTGCACACCGTTCATTGCACCCGGTCAGGTGGCTCAGCGGAGGAGTGAGCGGCTCCTGATCGGAAGGCTGCGAGTTCAAATGTTGGTTCGCGGTTAACCTCAGCCCATCGTTCCTCGGCCGCCAATAAAATTATTGCGAGGAGGTTAACAGTGGCTATCCTTTAGATATACTCCCCTGCAATAGCAGAATGGAATTTGCACTTCTGGTTCAGTACTCACTTGAAAGGCAGAAATCTATGACTTTTCAACGTATTACACGCACGAAGCACGTGTCCAGTTCTGAACATCAGCAAAGACATTGGTTTTTACATTTTGGGTCACGCGAATGTTCTAGGTGTACATTTTTTATGGTGCCTGCATGCAATGTGCTTCAATTTAAGCAAGGCCAATCATGATCGAGCAGCGTTGGTCTTACCACTGAAAAAACTAAACATACGCATGCATACACATGAAAGCTGTAAAACATATTCATAGTAAGAACGCAAGAACACAAATTAAATCGCAGTATTTAGGCACGGTTAGGGTACAATTTCAAATTCAAAACCACGTGCTATGTTTCTATTACACAATGGAGAAAACAACTAACAAAAATATCACTTGTTTTTTTGTTAATTATTTTGGAATAACTTTGATAAATGACTATTCAAGATTACAAGCCTCTTTCCCACAACAGCATTTCAAGAATTGACGTAAAATATCACAGGATGCCAAGTAGAAATCGGAGTCTGTACAGACTCATCATCATCACCATTTCTCTCGCGTTGGTAACATTGGCACCAACTGACGTATGTTCCACCACTTGGTGAGAGTTTACAGTGGTTGGAGTGTAGATATACTTGCTTCTGCCATTAAAATGTAGAATTTCCATTCCTGGCTCAAGACAACCGAAGGAGAGCAGTACCTTTTGTCTGTTAAGTATGAGACCACTTTCAAAACATAACTGGCTCGAAAATTATGTTTTGATGAAAACTGCTTGAACCCATGTATTTCCCAAGGTCTCCCACAACGAAGATATGTGCTTCAAGCATCCTAGAGTCAGAAAGTTGATTATTAGATTAAAATAAAACTCAGCCTGGTCATTATTTTATTATAAAGCCAGCTCAGTATTCAGAATAGATATTAATAGACAAGCAGATGGGCTGATGGTTTCTATCATTATCCAGGCAATGGGGAGTAAGAACTGACCCAACCACATCTGCTTCCCGACACCATGTGGTTAAAGAGCCATGCAAAGACACACGCTATTCCAATTGTGGCATATGTGCATCTACAGCACCCGGGAATTCATCATTATTCGTTGGTGATGAATACATGTCTAATCGTGCAGTATGCTATTTGCAAGAACTTGTGTTTGTTCTCAAACGTGTGTATTACATGTTCTAAAGGCACTTTCAATGGCACAAGCTTGACAGTCGTTTAATAATTATTTTACAATTGAATCTGTTTCAGCCGTCCACTCGATCCTTTTCCTGTTTACGCAGCCCTGCATTGCGGTCTCAAGATTTTCAGAGGAAGATAAGGGATGTGTTGGTCATCCTGAAGCAATTCAAATGTCAGTGTTAATTTGTGAAAAATCAATTATTATAAAGAACTAAAATAACAATCAGAATCTGTTTCACGGAATCAGGAGGCATCATTACATCGCAGGGGTGGTGTGGCGTGGTGATGATTACCCACTGCACCAGGTATTTATTCAAGGCCAAGTTGACCTAAAGCAGCCCTAGGACCACTTCAGATATGTTTGTAGCAGAGTGCACTAACCACCATGTGTGCATACAAAGACAAAGATGCCCTTCATAGCCTGAACAGACTTTTGGGGCAAGTGCTTTTAGTAAGCACTGATCAAGGCTGGCACGACACACCCA